CATACACACGCACACACACACACACATACACACACACAGACCAAATTTGGTCTCATTCCATTCAGAATGGCTTGAAACCTCGAGAAAACATAAAATTAGCGAATCGAATTTTTTTTTTTTTTTATGAAAACATAAACTTCAGTTCAATTCGAGCATTCGAAGCGTGCACATCGATAAGATATGGAGAGTGGTGAGTACGGCGAGAACGGTGAGTCATCACCGTCTCAGTACAATGTCAATAGAATCAGTAATTTAGGAACAAGCATTGCTGATGCAATGAAAACATATTATAATGAAGATTTAAATTCAACACAACAATGCTATAATAGTTTAATTAACAAGAAAAGTGAATATTCTAAAAAATTAAGTGATTTAGGCAATAAATTACATAGTGGAAAAAAAAGTGTTAGTATTAATTTATTAAATAAATCAATTAAAAGTGTTAAAACTGATAAAATTAAAAAAGTGACGGAAAGATTAAAAAATACTTCTAAAAAACTAGAAAATGTTAAAACTTCTATCAAGACTAGTGAAGATATCTCGGAAGAGTCGCAAACAAATTGGGATGAAAGTATGGAAGAAGAAAATATTAGTACAGAAACAGATAGCAACAAAAATATGGATTTAGAATTAGAAGATCAGGATAATTTAGAAATTAATGAACCCATAAAAGAAATTAGCCAAAATAATGATATAAACAAAAATTCATATAATAATAAATATAAAAATTTGACCTACTCAAACAGTGATATAGCACCATTCATTATCTACGTGGAATCCGAAAATATAAACAATGGAGTGGTACACCAAATGGCAATAGGCAAGCTTATGTTTAAAAATTTTCCACAATACAAACATGATATAATTGAAATAAAATCTATAGGAAAAAACAGAATCAAAATTATATTTAATAACTATAATATAGCAAATAATATTATTAAGGACGAGGTGTTCGTTAAAAACAAATTGCGAGCATATATACCCACGTTCTTACTAATTAGGAAGGGTGTCATACACGGCATAGACACTGATATGACAGATCAAGAGATAAGAGAAGATATAAAATCAGATGTTGAAATTTTAGATTTAAAAAGAATAAATAAAAAAGAAAATAATAAATTAGTGCCTACAAAAACTTGTGTAATAACCTTCAGGGGACAGCAATTACCTGATCGTGTGTCGATATATGCAGTCAAATTCAGGGTCGAACAATACAATAACATTACACAATGTTTTAATTGCCAAAATTACGGCCACGTGACTAATCAGTGTAAGGGTAAAACCAGGTGTAGTCATTGTTCAGGCGAACACAAGTATAAGGATTGTGAAAACAAAGAAACTTCTCCGACATGCGCATTATGCAAGGAAGAGCATCAGGCAAAAGACAAAAAATGTGGTAAATACTTATATCACATCAAAGTAAAAAATATAATGACCGACTATAATATAAGTTTTAGGGAAGCCAAGGCGATATTAAACAATAAAACATATGCTGATGTCATGAGACCAGATGTAGAAATTAAAAACAAAATCAATTTTCCCGATCTGCCTGACGTACAGATAGAAAAATATACAAAACTATATCAACAGCCAGAAATCATAAGACCAACAACAACGGTACCTAAATCGACATATAAAAACAACAATAACATAAGCAGTACAAATCATAGTAATGTCAACAAAATAACGGGAGACCCACCCAGCGCACAGGAGCGAAATAGATACAAAAATAATTATCATAACACAACACAAAAACCCATAATACACGACAGGAGTGAGAAAAACGAAATACCACGTGATAAGCAAACGATATTAAAAATTGAAGAAAGACACAGAAGAAGAAATGTAAAAGAATACTACGATAGAAGGAGGGAAATAAACAAAGACGATACTGAAGCGAAAACTCAGAATAATCAGGAGGATAACGATAGCGATAATGAAGAGAATAAAAAGATGATGAACCGATACTTCAGAGAAATATTTAATAAGGTACAAACAAGACCAAGACATAAAACAAATGAAAAAACAGAAAAATTATGGACAGCTTTAGAAGAGGAAATTGATTCTTTATGTATTGGAAAAACAACACATTCAGAAATTACTGAAACAGATAAGGGTAAAGAAAATACTGTTATAAAATAACATTTTGTATAGTATTGAATATGAGTTAGTTGTATAATTGTATTAGTAATATTGAAGTTAAAAAAAAAAAAAAAAAAAAAAAAAAAAAAAAAAAAGGAAAATACCAAAATGTATAATCTTCAGTGACAGCAAGGCGAGCATTTTACAAAAGCAAAATAGAAGATCAAGCAAATTAATTTTTGGAATAATAAATACAATGAAAACAATAAATTATAGTGAAAACTCTATGACATTAATATGGATTAAAGCACATGCGGATATCATGGGAAATGAAACTGCTGATTTTCTGGCGAGAGAAGCTTGTCAAAATGGAGAAGAATACACGAGGCTGCCGGCAATAGAATTAAATTATCTGGTTAAAGAGCAGAGTTTAAAAACTTGGCAAGGAGAGTTTTCAAAATCTTTAAATTATAAGATTCATATAATACAGATCATATTTTTTTTGTAAATGTTAAAAATATATGAAATAAAAGAAATCCATGTATAAAATGTTACAGGACAAAGGAATCGTGTTCCCAATAATTTCACAAGTGTTGATATTCCACAATATTGTTAACATACACAAAATTATGTATAAGTATATAACTAGTATTAAGATAGATTTATAAATTTGGAATTGTAAATGTATATATCTATGTAACTGGCGAAATGATCGAAAGATTAAAAGCCATAAATAAATAAAAAAAAAAAAAAAAAAAAAACAAACTTCTCCCTCGGGAAGTTAATAATGTAAAATAACATCAATAGAAAATAAGTTTTTAAGTGTTAAGACTTATTAATACATATTATACAATATACGTATTATTATATGATATATATATATATATATATATATATATATATATCAACATCAAATTTAGGATTTTTGTTGCTGTATAAACTTTATAAATAATTCGCCCGAATTTTTTTTCGCTCGAACTTAAAACAATAATAGTAAAACAAACGAGATCTGATGTAATAACCCGTAGAGTAGTTATAGTAATGAGCCGAAAATCGAAAATGAAATTTTTGCATATCTTCACGTTTTGAAGGTTTTGAACTCTTTGGTATACCTCAGAAAAAATGGATGTGTGTTAATGGATGTGTGTTTTGTCAGCATTTTTTCGTTCATCTTTTGCCTACATAAGGATTTGAAAATCTCTACAGTCAACGAAATGATCAAAATTTGAAGTTCATTATTTCTTCTTTTCCACATATCAATTTTTAAATAAGATATTAAAGTCTTGATTAACAAAAATAAATTATAAAAAAAAATCATTACGTTTTTGGGCGCTCGATGTGAATGATCCCAAAAACATTTAATTTGTAATGATTGGAAGAAGTCGTGTTCAGTTTCTGGCAAAGGCACGTTCAGCCGTTTTGGAGATACCGAGCTAATTGTGCAAAAATGATAGTTTTTGAAAGAACTAAGCATTCGATTTGAATGACTCCAAAAACTTTCTGCTTATATTGACAAAATAATTGCTTTTGGAAAAATAAATATTTCAATTTTTTAAATTTTTTTTTGTATAACGAAAATAATTCAGATTTTAATTTTAATTCTGGCTAAAGTTCTAAAGCTCACTTATATACTTTAAATAAATAATTTTAACCTTTTTGTAATTCAGCTTATATAATTCTTATGAATATTAGACAGTGTTATAGTATTTATAATAATCTATTTCAAAACATTTAATATTCCTCGAACATTTCGTTACGGTACGGGAAGTTCCAGCAATTTGCCTTGAGGCACAAAGCCATACACAACTAGTTAATTAAAACTTCCTAAACGTATGTTGAAGTGTATTTAAGTTTGACATTAATTAAACAATAGATCAGTATAATAATGATAAAACCGACACGGATATACTCTTAGTTACTACTACTGCAGCAGACAGCATCAAATTTGCATTATTGTGCTATCGGTTTTCATGTAAATAATAAATACGTTTCTGTCTGCCGAGAATCTCCATAGTCACAGTACTTATTTCTTCATTGTGCGATAACTAGTTTTATTGTATCATTGCGACATTGTAATTAGTATTCATGAGAGGCTGTTGTGAACGCAAGAGACGTTCCGATCTATCGCTCTCCGCGACAATCGTATTATTTGTTTATATATATATATATATATATATATATATATATGTATATATATATGCGTGTGTGTGTGTGTGTGTTTGTTTGCAACCAGAATTTAGAACTATATTTTCATACAGAAATGCTATATTTTAGTGAATCAGAAATATTAAAAATGTACAATTTTAACTTTTTTATAATTAATTAATTAAATATTTCATTACTTCTTAATATTTACATTTCTGTAACAATGCTGTTAAAATTCGGACCCCTAATATTATATTTTTCTAAAATAAATTTCTTAACATACATAAAGACATTCAATTTAATAAAGTGTTCATCTTTCAGTTATAATTTATACTAAAAATTTATATTATATGAAAAATAAAAAGAATCCTGCCAGCGCTATTATTATTAATGCATTCGCGCACACTGTATGGTTTATTGTCGTTGGTCAGTAACAGTACAAATAAATCTGAAACTGTTTGATTTACATTTATATAATGCTAAATTATGTTAAACCATTTTTTCTTTTTGTAAATAGCAATAAAAATCTGAAAAATCTCGCCTAGGTAACCTGTGACAGCTTTATTTTCTTACAGTAAGTCTATTTGTGCTTTTTTCTCAAAATCCTCCTGTGATCTAGTTATCTGTGCGTGACGAGACTATAATATTTATATGGTTAATAGGTCGGTCCTATTTTTTCATATATGCATAATATTTAGACAGCGATCAATATTGAACACAACTATTTGCATTTTGTGAATAATGATCAAACCATATTTAATTATCTTATAAAATTAGTCTTCTTTAGACGCCATGTGACACATTAGATTTCGGAGAAATTTATCAATTTTCTCCAAATCTTGCAAAACTTCTGTTTTAAATTGTAAATATTTTTCATCACCTTCTGTGCTTTTAACACAAAGCTGTCCTTTAGTATGAGAATATTTCTTAACATATCGACATCTTGAATGATCTTGCATATACAGAATTTCTGCAGATTTTTCGAATTTTTCCCTTATTTATAAAATTCATTTTAATTACAATTCATTTGACTACACGTATCAATTTTTTAGGGTTTTACTAATGTGCTAACATTTTCACAGTTTTTTACACTTTCTCAACTGAACCATATTTAAATCGTTATGTACTAATTTGTCCCATTCAAACCTCAGAGCTTTAGTGATTATTCGCAATCTTTAACTGTAACCTTTAAAAAATTCTGCCCCAAAAGTCCAAATTAAAGAGCTATTTCTCAGTTTGGATATAATAGTATAGTATAGTTTTTTATCCAAATACATATTCGGACCATTGACCACCGCATCAAACCAAAATTGCATTATATATTATTAGGATTAGTAGAAGCTTTATAGTTTCAATTGACAATAATGAATATTTCTAAAAAAAACATGATATATAATATATATTAGAGAAGATACAAAGCTAAATATATTACGATTTATAAAATAGCGTTATACATTTTATAAAACACATAATTAAATAATTACACAAACAAGTAATAGAATAATTAGTTTTCTAAGAAAATAAATTGGTGGTCTTCGTGCCTGTTTTTTTTATTATTTCACAAAAATATTTTATTTACTTATTTCTCGTTTTGTTTATCCATTTATCACTTTTATCATTTTATTCATTTGTCAAAATATATTATTATATCAAATCATGTTCATGTTCTATTTTCAACAAAACTATTTCAGAACAATCAAATTGTAGACATGATCGCTATCTTGAATTATGATAAATATAAATGCGTTTCAAATAAGATACAATACTTGAATTCCGTCCGACTGTCTGAAGTATATAATCATTAATCATAAATAAAAATAAATGACGAAACATGATATAACGCTTATAATAATGGCGATAAACGATGAAGTAACTGCCAATTTTCAATGATATTGAATATGGAGACACAAGTAGTTAAATTGTCGATAGGTGCTTAGTTCAATGCAATTTTCTTGATAAATCTCAAACTATGTACCAATTACAAGTCCCTAATTTCAACTTTCAGTAACATGCTGTTATAATAATTCGTTACTTGCAAAAAGATGTCCTCTTCAGAAATATTTCTTTGATCACAGACTTGAAAGCAGTAATAATTAATTGATGCTCTATTGGTTTAAAATAATCACTTTGCGTTACTTTGTTTTTATATTTCTTCTTGTATAATATTATTTTATATTTCTTCTCATTTATTTCAATTACTTTATTAACTTCCCGAAGGAGAAGTTTGTTTTCATCAAAAAATCTGATTCGCTAATTTTATGATTTCTCGATGTTTCATGCCATTTTGATTCGAATGAGACCAAATTTGGAAAAAGTATGTCTGTGTGTATGTGTGTATGTGAACAGATTTTTTGTCGCAAATCGACGTTTTCTCAAAAACGACTGGTCCGGTTTCAAAAATTTGAAAGCCTTTCAATGTATCTCGATGAGGACTAGCGTTTATCAATTTTGCGCGACGATCTGCCAAGCCGTTTCTTTGTAATTTGGAAAAAAGTGTTAAGCTTTTCATCCACATTCAAGCTCATACTACCAAATCTATTTTCAAAAAAAAAACTGTTCGAAAGATATTAGTTGGGAATGATACTGATTAGTTTTAGGTGAAAATCTACCTAGCCGTTTTCTTGTAATTAATTGTTGAAAAAAAAACTAAGCCGATTTTTATGGAACTTTTTTTTGGCGATATATATCATGGTCTTATGGAACTTACTAAAATATTACAGCGTTACGACAAGTAGTTTAATTTTAAAAATTCAAAGTTTGAAAAAATGAGTAGTCTTTTGTGATAAATCCATTCGGAATACTTTTCAATTAATTTATTTTTTATTGATTAAGTCGATTATTTACATATATCAGAAAGTTCATGTAACTTGCCTCAAGGCAAAATACCAATACCAAGTAGTTCCATATATCTTCCCACACAATGCATAAATTGTACTGATTATGTTAAATACTATATAAACATAGTATTTATATATCGTATATAAATGATAAATATTTTTATTATCTATTATAAATATTTCACTACTCAATATAATAATTAACTTCGATAAGATAAAATTTATCTGCCAGAAAATCCGATTTGCTAATTCTTAAGCTTTCTCTACAATTCAAGTTATTTTAAATCGTTTGAGACAAGTGTATGTGTTTGTGAGCCGAAATTTGACCGCAACGTTTTCTCAAAAAACGGCTCACAGATTTCAAAAGTTTTTCCTTGAATATCTTCCCTTAAAGCAAAATAGTTATTACTTGCTTATACTTATTCGTTTTAGTGCATAAAATATTTGGGTAATTCATTCCGAATCAGATAGTATTAGCAGCAGTCACGAAAATTAGGTTAACGATTTCAAGGTCAGAAGGCGTCGAGGCGCGGCCACCAGAACGTACAAGAACGAGATGATAAAAAAAAATTAAAAAAATACTACCATCACGGACTGCAACATCGCGTCACGATATAATGCGCTGAGTCAGGCTTCTTAGAGAGGAGAAAGAAGCACGGAATTTTATGCAATGTATCTACATCGGCATCGTCAAAATTCTTCAAATTCAGAATAATTTAATTCCAATATTCTCTTTTCGGGAATTCAAAGTAACGTTTGAAACAACATCATGTAATAAAGTTAAATTTGCGATAAAAAGTAATTCAATGCTAACATATTTATAGTAAAAGCTGAAAACAAAAATGATTTTTTATTATCATGATGATACAGGTAATTTATTATGCACTGCGTTATTTTAGGAGCAGATGAAGTTAGAGCAAAAACCATCTTGCAAATATATATTGAAGAGGATTTAAGATTGTATCTATATTTAGACAATTTCGTCAGAGATAAAATTATCAGTGCAACATTGTATGAATATTGAACAAGACCAATCGGTGATCGTACGAGTAAACGTAGAACGAAGATCTTACAAGAAAGATCAAAATGCAATACAATAATCATTATTCATAATATTCGGAAAGATATTAAATCGCCTTGTCCTATAAAAAACTTATAAACATTAATCCTTAATCAAATATTCTAGCGCCCTCATTTAGTCCCTAATTGAGAACTTCTAATCGTTCTGTATTAGGAGTGAGACAAAAAAGGATTCTTATCAAATTTGGAATCAAATGCAAAATTTTTAAAACTCACATCATTAAAGGTTCGTTGCAAAAAAATTGGTTCATAATATTATAGTAATGCCTCTTGTCAATACAAATATGTTAACTAAATTTAACATTCCACAAAACAGTACAAGGATTAAAAAGTCATGCCAGTTTTAATTATGCCTGTCTAGATTTATGTATATCAATATTTGTATTAAATATCAATTATATATATATATATATATATATATATATATATATATATGTCTCCGTTATTACTTAGAAATATGTATGTATTCAAACATAAATAGTTAAAAATCACTGTTGATGGTAGATGATGAGACATCCTCTAAGAAAATTTTTTAAAATATTTCTTTTTGAACGGGAAAAACTATTCGTAGTAATGATATGCTTATCAAAAAAATAAATAGTCACCTCAAACAGTATACAGTGATGGCATAAAACCTGGCATTCATACATCGACCTTGACAGAATGGCTTGCGCATTCAACGAATATTACAAAAAAATATGTAGTGAAATCAGAAATCCGCGAACGTAAACAAATAAAACAAAAAATATAAAATACATTTACATGGGAACAAAAATAGCAAATCTATCGCCAATGCGCATATGAAACTAACTGATGTCTTTCGGTGCAATAGAACAATTAAATCTGACATATATATATATATATATATATATATATATATATATATATACATATACATATATCCATATATAAATATATACATATACATATATACATATATAAATATATACATATACATATATAAATATATACATATATACATACATATATATGTATATATAAATTAGATCTGCCGGAAAGTTCTGTCAAAAATTATGACATCATTTTCGCCACGTTTATTGCATGTTTATTTATTGCATGATCAGCTCTACATTTTTCAGCTTAATGTATGCATATTGATGTACAAAATAAACTATGATTTGATTTACATTAGTCTTAAGTGTGAAACGATAGTATAACTGGGGCGACTGACAAAGTTTGTTACGGCATTTTATTTACATGAATTTTAACAAGAAGGAAATACTACAGAAAAATGTAGAAATTTATTTGAAACGTTTTTGAAACAGGTGATTTCGACCTTTCTATTCCGGGCGAGCATCTTTGTTCGATGATGATGTTAATGTAATGTTGAAGCCAGATCCTTTTCTGACAACATCGAAGAACGCAGAAAAGTTTAATTCAGCTCAACAAACCATTTCTGACCACATTCGATACAGGTTCAAGCTCTTTTTGAGCCGGATGATAACCGGGGATGAAAAATGGATTGCTATCATTTGCATTTGTCCTTAAAAATGGAGATTATGTAAAACAAGTCCTGGTTCAATTTTTCGCATCTAAAGATAAAATATTTTTCAAATGGGATAAAAAAATTCATTAATAATAATGGAAATTACATTATTCAATAAATTTAATTGGCAAAAAAAATGTATTCTGTTTTATTCCACAAACGGAAGGAACTTTCCGGAAGACCTAGTATACCAAAGACATAAAAATAATTATAATATATTTTTATAATTATATTATAATTATTGTTTGTATTAAATTGTAGAGTTCATATAAACGTATGATATAAAATATAAATTATTTTTTATTAAAGATTGAATATTTATATAAGGATATGATAATAATTAAACAAAAGCTTAAATAAAAATCTTCTTTCTAACAGAAAATTTTTCAGGCTGAGAGAATAACAGTCTATGAAAAAGCTCTGACACAACTAAAATCGTTGTCGAACACAGATTTGATATAAACTCGCATGTTTAAATATTCATATTAAAAAAGATGAAATAGTCGATAATATAACTTGTATATAGTTCTTACAATATATAGTTACTAGATATTGTCATCAACTTATGTTCATAGTCATAGGTTACGCGGAAGGAACTTATGGGTTGTTGAACGGAAACCTTGTTATCGGAGGGCTGTCGCAATATATATATATATATATATATATATATATATATATATATATAGATTTATGCATATGTATGTATGTATATCTACATATATATTTTCCGAAAATATAATAATCTAGCAATAAGATATGACTGTATAATAATGTATCGCAACCCAGATCTTGAATTTTGTAATATATTTGTTGTAGTTTACTAAATAACACGGTATACGTCATGAATCTTTATATTATATTGTATTAAAATACAGGCTCATGTACGGAACATAAATTCTCGCTGCCAGAAGCAAATGACTCGTAACACACACGGTCGTTCGAATAATTAGCGTCTTTCTGAAGCGAGTCCCGATAAACGAATAATGAGCGCGCTCCTTGTACTCAACAACATTATTTATGTACATATGAATACATACATATATATAATGTAATGTGCCTATATCTGTAGATGTATCCTCGGTCATGCAAATGTGAATTACCCAACGGCGTGGAATATTGCTTTTTGTACACGAATCGTGTTTATATAAATTTATTTTATAGCCGTATTGTTTTTATTGTTCATAATAATTCAATTTTTATATATACCTATTTGATTTTAAAATCGTAAAAATTATTGGAGAACGATCTTTGTATTTTGTAGTTTCATATTGTATCTATAAAAATTTCTGCAGTCGGCCTTTAATGACCATCGATGCTAAAGTTACCAAAATCGTAATAGTGTTCGTGTGAAAATAGATTACGGATACTGATGCCGTCTCCGTGTTGTGGCCGGTTGCAAGTCGACGGACTTAGCAAACAGACTCTAATGGATTATTGATCATGACTAATAGTATGTTCGCATACGAGTTCTAAATTTTTGTATACCGTCTAGACAAAAATTTTTGGAGGTGACCCCGAATCTCTTTTTGTTCGTAAAACATAAAAAATAAAATAAAATAAAATAACACATCGTGTACATCATCAGTG